AGAAAGTCACACTAGACTTCCCGCCCCCCGCGATGGCGCCTGCCTTTTTCCGACAACGCTCGGCGGGGCCAAGTGGCAGGCGTTTCAGGGATTTCGGATGACCAGCGGCCCATGGTCTTTCCGGGGATTTCGAAGCCCATGGTCGGAAAGATTTCCACTGATAGCATTGCGCGCGATTGCTGGAAATCTTCTGCCCCCATCGCCACCCTCCACGATCTCGACCGCCACTTCTTCGAGAGGAAGGGGGAAGGGCCCCCTGCCCCCGCCGCGCCAGCTGCGCCCGGTCTTCCTTGCTGAGGGCGACCGCCCCGCGGACCTCGCTCAACCCCCTCCTCGCTCGCACGGCCCATGCCGCCCTGGTGCCATGGCCGACGCGGGCCGCTAGGCCACCCAGGAGGGGAAAAGACACACAGACACAATTCATCGTCGAGTCCCAGGAAAATATGGGGAAATATGGGAAGTGGGGGGGAAGACGAAAACCCAGAAAATATGAGAAAATATGGGGAATCCTTTTATTTGTATGTATTTATTTGTGTGTCCCAGGGCCCCTTCAGAGACGGCCCCCGAGGTTCAGGCTCGACAGGGAGGGCGGTCTGCGGCGGAGCAGACCCTGGGGGCTGCAGCACCGGGGCTCCAAGCGCACGCGCTCGGGCAGGGCTGGCGCGCGGGTTCCTCGCCGACGTTCCCGCCGCGGTTCCGAGCTGCGCGGCACCTCGGCCACTTCGGGCCCCGGCCCCGACACCGCTTCACCCCGGGATTGTATGTCTCTTCGGGGCGCTCTATCCAGAGAACCCGGGGGCCGCTTGTCTCCGCGGCAAGCGGCATCGACGCGTCGAGCTCCAGCGGGGGGGTCCGTCAAGGAGACAATTTAGCGCGTTTCGCTTCGCTCTTGCGCTGGGCCCATGCATTCGACGGCTGCCGCCTGGACTTCCGCGGCAGATCCTGAGATCTGCCGATGACATGCGGTTCGGGATTCGGGATATTGTCTCGGAGCTGTCCCTTCCCGCGCCCGTCCCTCAGACGTCGGTGTTGGCGATGGGCTTCGGCGTAACATTTGAAAAGTGCGAGGCCGCTTCGCTGCGGTCTTGCCGCGTCTCCCGAACGGCTTGGCAGGCACGGCGTCCTTTGGAGTGTGCTGGGAATGGGGCTGGGAACTTCAGACGCGTTCGTGGCGCGAGGCATCTGGGGGTTCAGACTGGGCCCGATGGGAGGATTGCGGCCTGGAGCACTGCCCTGCAGAAGCACCCCGGCACCGCCGCACTGAGATGTGTATGCTCCGTCTCGGGCTTGCGATGACTATCCGCGCGCGCTCGTGGTGTTCGCCCCCCTCTCTCCTCCGACGCGCGACGCAGTTGCACCCCGCCTCGCAGGAGGTTCTCAGAATCGAAGGTAACATGACAGACACAATTAATCGTCGAGTCCCAGGAATATGGGGAAATATGGGAAACGGAGGGGAAACGGGGAAATTGTGAAATAGGGAAATAGGGAAATAGGGAAATAGGGAAGAGAAAAGGGGAAACGGGGGGGAAATAGGGAAATAGGGAAACGGGGGGGGGGGGGGGGGGAAATATGGAAACGGGCGGGGAAAAGGGGCGTTACGACATCTGCTGCATGCAGCTGGTTTCGGCCCCGCCGCCGGGCCCCTTCCTCGACGCATGGGCGCCTCCCGGCGCCGGGAGGCGCCGGGAGAATCAGCTACGCGAGCTAATTCTCAAGCCCCCCCTCTGCTATCCCCCCCTTTCGCCCAGCCCGATTCTTCTGCGTCCATGGTAGTTTTCGGTGGAGCTCCACAATGCCCCCCGCTGATTTCTGCTCGGGGCCCGCATTCGGCGGCGCTGCAGGCGCCGCCCCCGCAGGTGCAGGCCGCCTGGTCATGGGGCCCCGGTCGAGAGGTGGCCGTTGGCCCACCCGATCGCGGAGGTGCGCGAGTGCCGAATGATTATATAGTTGTTTGTGTTCTTTCTCTTTCTCAGTTTCTCTGTTTCTCTCTTCTCTCTTCTCTCTCTCTCTCTCTTTTCACTCTCTCTCTCTCTCTCTATCTCTCTGTCTTGTTTTCTTTGTTGTTTTTCTCTCTCTCTCTCTCTCGTTTCTGGTGGTCTGCGGCGCGGCCGCCGGTCTGGCGGCGCCGAAGGGGGCGGCCTGCCGATCGCCCTCTGGTGGACGGACAGATGCTCGACAGTGAGATCGCGGGCGCCAGCGCCGCTGCGGCCGCGCCGCCCCCGTTCCCCCTGCGCGCCGCAGATCCGCGGCGAAGTCCCTGCGGGAAAAAAAACACACACAGTCTGTGGAAACAAACACACACACAACAGTCTGTGGGGGGGGGGGGGAACACACACACACACACACACACACAGTCTGTGTTTTTGTTTCCAGAAACACACCGTCTGTGTGTTTTGTTCCCCCACAGTGTTTTTTTCCCCACGGGCGGCGGCCACTGTCGCGGCCATCCTTTTCGCATCCCCCGCCCCCGTTCCGGGCATGGCCAGGACCCCAAACTGGCCAGAATCACTACAACCAAGGTCTGCCGCAGCTGGTGTGTTTTGGGGCGACGGCAATTCTGGTTTGTGGAACGGGGCGGGGGGGGGGGGGCGTCCCCCAGCACGCGTCACTAAACGCGGCCCCACGAAACCCAGCTCTGCCAGCGCCCGACCGTTGTGCCCCTGCGCCCGCCCCCCTGCTGCTCTTGCTTTTCTCCTCCGTTGCTGCTGCTGCGCGCGCTCTCCTGCGCGCCCCCTTCTGCTGCTGTCCGCGGTGCTCGCGCCGCTGCCTGCGCGTCGCGGCGTTCGGTCAGGCCCTTCGCCCAGCACGGGGCCGGTTCGGGTCGGTTCGGCCGCGGGCCGGTTCGGTTGTGGCGGTTCGGGTTCGGCGCCAGTTCGGGTTAAGCCGGTCCAGTTCTTCCTCGGGACAGTTGGGTTTCGGGCGGCCCGTTTCGGGCGATGGAAAGGTCGGCGCGCAGCGCGGCCCAGTTCGGCCCCTTTGCTGCCTCCTTGTTGCGGCGCGGGGGCGCCACTCTCCGACGCCGATGCCTCGTCTGCCATCTCTGTCCCGTTTCTTTTTTTGTGCGCCGGCCTGCTCACCCGCTCTCGATGCACCGCGGCCCCGCTGTGTGTGAAACCCGCTCATTTCCCCATTACATCATCACATACCGCAAGTGTATCACCCCCTTGTGCAGTGCCCTGGGAAATGAGTCTTCCTCCTTGCCTCTACCTACGGACCCCGTCTAGGAGCGGCCCCTCGGGCCGTCTCCCTATACACGCACCCGCGGCGCCGCGCCCAGTGTTTCTCCAAGGAGGTTTCCCGACAGCCTCTCTCTCTCGGGTTCTGCGTCGCTGGAACGGCGCAGGCAGGCCGAATTCTCCGCGGTGGCCCTTCGGGCACGTGGCACCCGCGGGCCACGCGGGCCCAGGCGCTGGCGGCAGGGCCTGCGCGGGGCCTCGCTGAGCCAGCGCTTGTCGTCAGGGCTGGACCTAAACGGCGTCTTGGCGATGTCGCGGGCCGTTTTCGTTTCGATCTCGTTTTGCGGCAGAGGTGGATGGGAAACAACACGAAGGACACCGAAAACAAAACGAGAACGGAAAACACCGTTTAGGTTCAGCCCTGCTTGTTGTTCGTTCTTCCTTGCGCGTCGCAGGTGTACGACGAAGCACCAGGACCGCCGCCCCGCACCGACCCCCCTCGGCCACAGGGGCTGCGAGGTCCTGCTCCTGCGCGGTCGCTGGCTCAGATGTTCATCGCAGTGCGAGTTCTCTCCCCGACTCATCCTGGCCTGTGTTTTGATTCGCACGCGGGAAATGGATTTCGAAGGTGAGTACGGACACGCTTGAAAAATCACATGTTTGAAAATGGTTCCTCCTGGTCGTCGATTGACAACTCTTCGCTGCCGCCGTTGCGTGGGAGCAAATCATCATCAGCATCACCATCATCATCAGCACCGTCGTCGAAGTCATCACCGCCGTCGTCTTCATCGTCGGCGTCGTCGCCCTTGTCGAATTCTTGCGCGCGGTCACTGTGCCATCATTTTCGCCCGAACCGTCGTTATCAGCATCGCCATCATCGCCATCGTCGTCGTCATGATCAGCATCGCCAACGTCACCGTTGCCTTATCATCACCACCATCGGCGTCATTACCATCACCATCGTAGTCGTCGCCATCGCTCTCGCAGTCGTCATCAACTTCACCTGCATAAGTAGCACCATCATAATCATTGTCGTCGCCGGCGTGTTTGGGTGTGCTAAAATATTGCGGGGAAGTCGCTGGGGTTCTTGCGCGAGCAGTCGACTTAGTTAATGATTTCACGACGGGCAAACGTCATCCCACTTCAAGTATTGTTATGACGTTCCTTCCCCTCCATGGTTTGCGCTTTCCGCCGTGGCGTCCCCTGTCCTTCGTTCGGTGGGGAAGCTGTTAATGTTCATCATCATTACATTTGGCCCATTCGGAAAGATCGCGCCACGTAGATAGCGCCACACCGGTTGCAAAAAGGCAGCTTGCACTGCACTTCACAGCTTGCGGGGTCATCCAGACGCCGAAACTGGCGAAACGCATCTGGCGTTCCGTTTTCTGCTCGTGTTTCTTCTTTCCCTTCGGTGGGCGTTTCCGATCAAGCCCCGCCAGCGGCGTGCGCCGGAGGCCGCGCCTGCAAACCAGCTTGGCGAAAGGCGAGGGCGAGGAGAGGGACAGGCAGGGAGGGCGAGAGGAGGGGGGGGAGGGTACGAAAGGGGAGAGGGAGAGGAAGGGAGAAGAGAGGGAGGGAGGGAGAGCTAGAGGAAGAGAGAACGGGACGAGGAAGGGGAGGGCGAGGGCGGATCGGGGATGGACGAGGGGGGAGAGGGAGGCTGAGGTGGAGAGGAGGGGGGGGGGCCGTGGAGAGGGGCATGGGGCGAAGGACGCGGGGAAGGAGGACACGGGAGGCAAGGCGGAGAGCTCGATGGGGGAGGAGGAGATCGGGAGGGGGCAGGGCGGGGACGCGGACGGGGACGCGGCGGCGGCAGGAGAAGCCGGGAGGGGGGAGGGGGAAGCGGGGCAGCGACGCGGGGGCGCCATGGCCGCCGGGCCGGCGTGGCCCATCGCGGAGGTCGTGGCGTGCACCTCGGGGCCACAGTGGGACCCGAAGGGGGAGGACCCGGGCACGGCCGGGCAACGGCCCCCGGCCGCCGAGGGCTCCGCGGGCAGCCTGCGGGCGGGGCCGGGACAGGGGCTGCAGAATCGATGTACAGAGGTGTCTCTCTCTCTCTCTCTCGATCGATCGATCGATCGATCGATCGATCGATCGATCGTCGACGAAGGAGAACTGCTAGAAACATATGTGTTGCGCTCGGCGCGGAGTCCTTGGATCTGCCCTGTCCCCCCCCCCCCCCTTGGCGGCGCCTCCGGCGCCGCCCCCGGGGAGGGGCGCCCAGGGAGCCGAGCGCACTTTGGGGAGGGTGGTCCAGCGCAGATCCAAGAAATCCGTTCGGACCGTCGAAAGATCATGTTTATGCTGTTTGTCATGAACTCGGCGTGAGGATCGATTTGGGGGTACATCGATTCTGTAGTCGATCCCCGATTCGAGTCAGAGCGTTCTGGAACGCTCCGAGAGGGCCGCGGCGCCCGATACACCTCCCAGAGCCGCGGGATCACAGAGGTCCTCGTGGGCGAAAAGCCGATCCGTATCCGCGGCCCCCGCGCGTACGGGGTGTCCTCTCCAGGATGCCCCGCGCGGAGCGTCTCCGTGCGTCCCGCGCACCCGCGGGGTGGCGCCCCGAAGTCCAGACCGCGCCGGCGCGGAAGGCCCAGACCCCCAACGTAAGGTCGGGCCAGTCCCCCTACAGAGGGTTTTTGATGGAAAAGACAATACCCAAAAAATGCCCCAAACAGCTAAAAAAATACCCAAAAAATAGTCCCCGGGCTATTTTTTGATTATTTTCAAAATATGTTTGGGTTTTTCTTATTTTTCATCGAAAATCCCCCTATAGGGGGACAGGCCCGACTGAACCCCAACGTTCAGATTCTTTTCGTCACGTCGACCCCCAGGGGGTCTCGACTCGATTCGCCTTCGATGGCTTGCGATTCCGATCCGGTTCGATTTGGGATTCCGAATTGGGCTCCGATGTTTCAATGAAGGCCTGCTAAATTGCCGAACTCCGCCGATTCGGCTTTTCCCGATTCGGCTGCCTATTTCCTCCGATCCGATTCATTTCGATCGCCGATCCGACTTATCGATTCGATTCTTGAGGCGCCGGCATTCCCCAAGACCCGTTTCTCATACCGAGTCGTTTTTGTTGACGGTCCCGAGGCCCAGTAGAGGGCCCCGGGAGGCCGAAAGTTGGGAAGGACCTCCCGTCCTGATTTTGTGTCATTGCCCCGAGGGGGTCCATGGGGATACGGACACAAGGGCGCCCTCGAGGGCGCGAAGTTATTTGCGCTTCGCGGTTCGGCTCCGATTCCTCCTCATCGTCCTCTTCTCCCCTGGGAGGCGGCGCGAGAGCGCGAAGTTATTCGCACTTCGCGCTTCGTGCAGCGCGAAGCGCGAAGTTGGGAGCCCTTGGGACATGTCCGCCGCTCGTCACGTCCCCGATTGGGTCCCTGTCCGACGTGGTCCCTGCCCCGGCCTCCTGGCCACCGGGGGACCTTTCGCGAGGCGCCGACGTCCCTGCTGCCCACTCAAGAAAGCACCACGCCCCTGCGAGGTCCACGCGACGCTTGGGCACATCAAGAACCTCCGCGGGGGCTCGTTACAGTCGAAATCGATTCTATAGGCTTACGCCACATCCGCCGACCCCTCTATAAACTACTGCGCGTCCAGGACTGCATTCCACGAGGCTTGTCCGACTCCTGGGAGGTTCTTGGGGGCGTTTGGGGGCTCTGTTCGGGCTCCTTGGGGGCTTCTTGGGGCTTGTTGGGAGCTTTTTGAGGCAACCTGGGGTGTCCTGGGGCCGAAGGCTGGAAGTGAGGGTTCGGGTTCCCCCCGTGGGCCCCCTCTGGGCTCGTTGCAGTCGGAATCGATAGCAAGGATTGGCGAAAAAGAGAACACGCCACAAATATGTATATATATATAGAGAGGTATAAATTACCCCAAAAAAGCAGCAGCAGCAGCAACAACAACAACAGCAACAGCCACAACAACCACAACAACCACAACAACAACAACAACAACAACAACAACAACAACAACAATTACTAGCACGTGGGGACACACCGTTCTCACCAGTGCCAGGGTTTTCATAGGAGGCGGGCAATACCCCCACTTTGTGGGGGGGCCGGTTCAAGCTCTACCAAATTTCCAAACGACTCTTCGCCACCACCCACACCCAGCTTCCCGCCCTATGACGTTCGGACACTTCACTTCGTGGCATGCGGACGACCGTGGCTACTATTCAGGGCCCCGCGGCCGACGACGACGGCGTGCGCGCGCGAAGAAAAAACGAATGTGTCCCGCATGGTATTATTTGACAGGGATGATGGCCCTGGCAGGTGCGCAACCGTTGTTGCAGAAGTTCGAAAAAGTTGCTCGCAAAAGCCCGTTTGACAGAAATGTTTAAAAAGTGTTGGGTTTCCTACGAATCCGCAAGAGCGCGCGGGATGAGATTTTGACATTTTTTTGTTGAAAAACCATTGGTTTTTTGATGTTTTTATGTTAAAATCGCTGCGAACACTAAGGTTTTGGAAGGATTTCGTCTTGCGCGCGCGAATGTCCACTTTACCTTATTTTTTGCAAGGGATTCTTGAAATTTGATTATATTAGAACAAGAAATGTCATTTTCTATTGTTTTTTGCAAGGGAAAGCGGATTACAACAAAACAACCGGATCCTGTACACACCCTCTTTTCTGAGGCTTCCTCACGAAAATGATGAAAATGTAGCTGCGGCCTAGGCGGCGCAGGGGGGGCGCGCACCAGGGGGCCCAACAATAATTATTCTTTAGAATAAATAATGTTCAACAACAACAACAACAATAACAACAAAAAAACTGTGGGCGCTCCGAGCGGAGTTCTTGGATCGGCGCCTGGGCCCCCCGCTGGCGGCTCCTCTGGCTCCGCCCCTGGCGCGCTCCGCGCGCCAGGTAGGGGGGCCCAGCGCAGGTCCACGAAATCCGCGCAGAGCGCCAACAGTTTATGCTCATGCAGAGCACTCTTTTCCTAGATGGGAAATCGTCCCAAGGATACCCTGGCATCCTTGCCTCATCGGTCCATCCGCAACCCCTTTGGATGGCCAGCTCCGCTCGAAGAGCCTCGACGCGGGCGTCCAAGGGACTGGCATCCTTACCGCGCATCCTTACTGTCAGTTTTGATTGGACGCTGCAGACCTCCATCCAAATTCTGAACCCCGGCCAGTTTTCGGAAGCCTGACCTGCAGGGGCATACACTGGAAACCCATGCCAAGAAACACCCTGCTTGCCTCCAGGGTGCCCTGGGTTTCTTGGGTTTCGATGGTTGTGCCATGGAAATCGTGATATCTTTTTCCACGCCAAAGAGTAATGGACGTCCTGGGCGTGCCCCCTCCCCCGTCTGGCCGAGGACCAGATCATCTTCCGGGTGCTCCACAAGTACATACTGACCTCCGAGGGCCCCGCGCTGGAGGAGCGGAGCCTGAGAAGCTCGTCCGTGAGCGCGCGGGGGCGCCGGCTGTCCAACCGCAGCCCACCTGGGCCCAGTACGAGGGGAAACGTGCGCCCTCGAGCCACCTTTCGCCCGAGTAGCCTTCGGTGCTGGCCCACACGGGTGGCCCCAGCATCGGCCTGCGTGCTTTTGCATCTGGCATTGCGCAGCGACCCCCCTGCCAGGCCCAGCCTGGGCCCAGCACGAGGGGGAACGTGCGCCCTCCTGCAGTCGTCGACGCTCACGAGCGACCTTTCGCCCGAGGGACCTCTCTGGTGCTGGCCCACACGGGTGGCCCCAGCATCGGCCTGCGTGCTTTTGCATCTGGCCACGCGCACCGACCCTGGCCAGGCCCAGCCTGGGCCCAGCACGAGGGAAGCGTGCGCCCTCCAGAGCCCATCGGTCGCGGAGAGTGGGTATTTTGGGATTCCCAGAATCGAATCTACTTTAAGCACCTTCCTACTTCAATGATCGAGTGGCTTCAGCTTTTCAGTCCTCCGGACGGTGGGGGGGCGGAGATCCAATCTATGTTCAACGCCCTCCTATTTCATGGTTCTACGTACCTACTTCTTCCGACCAATGGGTAGTCGTTGACGCTCACGAGCGACTTTTCGCCCGAGGGACTTCTTTGGTGCTGGCCCACACGGGTGGCCCCTGCAGTGGCCCGCGTGCTCAACTCTACCCCCCCCCCCCCCGCGGACTCCGGCAGCCGCACGCCAAGGGTCACTCCTGCACGGAGGGCCACGCTTTCGTGTGTAGGCTGCAGAGACCATCCACGACTCTCCTCCACATCCGGTTCCTCCTCCTCCTTCCTCCTCCTCGTCCTCCTCCTCCTTCTCCTCCTCCTCCCTCCTCCTCCTCCCCTCCTCCTCCTCCTCCCTCCTCCTCCTCCCTCCTCCTCCCTCCTCCTCCTCTCCCTCCTCCTCTCCTCCTCCTCCTCCCTCCTCCCTCCTCCCTCCTCCTCCTCCCTCCTCCTCCCTCCCTCCTCCCTCCCTCCTCCTCCCCCTCCTCCTCCTCCTCCTCCTCCTCCTCCTCCTCCTCCTCCTCCTCCATCCTCCTCCCTCCTCTCCCTCCTCCTCCTCCTCCTTCTCCTCCTCCTCCTCCCCCTCCGTGAACACCGCCACACCGATCTTGGGCCCATGCTCGGCCCCACCAAGAGCCGCGCATCGTGCAGGTGGACGGTTGGTGTCCCCCCCTTGGTGGCGAGGCACTTCTCTCATTTCGACCTCCACCCCCCTCCGCAGCTTCCCCATCTTCCCGCGCCTGTCGCGCTATCGCGTGTATGTTGTTATACTTCTCTCTCTCTCTCTCTCTCTCCCTCTCTCTCTCTCTCTCTCTCTCTTTCTCTGACTCTCTCTCTCTCTCTCTCTCTCTCTCTCTCTCTCTCTAGTCTTATTTATATACATATAACGGCGCACCGGGTCCGGGGGCCCGGGGCCGGGACCCCGACCACAAATGTGGGCCCCGGGGGGCCCGGAGGCTCGTCGGACCGCCGGACGCCGTCCAAGATCGTTCGCAGGCGGCTTCGGAACGCGCTCCGATGGCTCCAGATGCCTTCCAAGACGCCAGTCATGACACCAAGAAGGTCCCAGAAGCCTCCAAGACGCTCCGAGAGGCAGCCCAAGAGAGGCCCAAGAAGCAAAAATCGTGTCATTCCTATGGGAAAACGTATATTTGTCGCATGTTCGCCTCTTGGGCTTTCACCGCGTCCAAGACGGCCCAAGAGGCGCCCAAGACCGCCCCAAGACGGCCCAAGAAGCTTCCAAGAGGGCCCCAGGACAGCCCAAGAGGGCCCCAAGACGGCCCAAGAGGCGCCCAAGATGGCCCAAGAGGGCCCCAAGACGGGCCCAAGAGGGGGCCCAGAGGGGGACCACGAACCGCAAGCTCGAGCCTTCCGCCCCAAGAGGCCGCCAGGAGGCCCCAAGGAGGCCCCTCAAGAGGCCCCAGGAGACCCCCAAGAGGCCCAAAGGAGGCCCCGAGAAGCCCCAAATCGGCCCCCAAAATGCTTCGAACCTGCTTCCAGGAGGCCCCCGACAGGTTCAGAGGCTCCCGAGAAGCTACGTCAAACTCCCAGCGAGCGGCCGGACGAGGCCCCCCACAAAATCACAAGAGGGTTCCAGTATTTGTATCCTTCAGCGCTCTCTGGCCTTCTTCCCCCTGCCCCCTTTCCTGCGATTTTCGTTGACTCAAGCTCGCCTCCTAGCTAGAACCTAAGCGCGCGCGAAGCGCGCGCGTGGTTCTAGTGTGTATGTATGTGTGTGTCTCTCTCTCTCTCTCTCTGTCCTTCTCTCTTTCTCTCGTTATGTTTCTCTATATATATGTTTCTCGCTCTCTCTCTCTCTCTCTCTCTTTCTTGGTCTCCCTTTTTGGTATCCTTCCCTTTTCCTCCGTCTGCTCCTTTCGCAGCCTTTCATCCCTGCTATGGCTTCCCGTTTCTCAGCTCTCGAGGAAGCTGCCAAGGACGCGAAGGTTGTCTGGATTTTCCTGATAGAAATCGGCAAGAGGAACAAGCCTCTGAAGCAGCAGGTGTTGGAGTGCTTCCACGTGCTGATGGAAAGCAAGGCGGGAGGCGGGGGAGAGGGAGTGAGGGAGGAAGCCAGCGTCGATTATTGCGTCTACGGTTCCGTGCTCGGACTAGTGCACGATCGGAAGCTGTTTGGGGGCTCGCTGGAGGTATCTTGGGGCCTTTTGGGTGCTGGTTGTGGGCCTGCACCCCAGCCGGGGGGCACATCACGACTCAGCGCAATGAAAAGGGACGGTGGGAGGAGGATAAAGCAATGGCGAAGCGTCTTGGCTCGCCTATAGAGCCGCAAATGATGTTCAAACAACCTTTTGTGGTTTGCACGAAGTTGTCTTAGAACATTTCTGGCTGGGACAGTCTTGCTTAAACACATCGGTACTATGTTCTAAGAACCTCGCGTTTGTAAGAACATGTTGGGGTTCTAAGAAAATTTCGTGGTAGGCCTATAGGAATGCCGGGACGGTCGGTCCCTGCTCAAGAGGAGGGCGAGGAGGCTAGATATGGCAGGGGCGCACCCAGATTGCCCCCCTCACGTTCTCCATCCTTAGGGTGACACAAGAAAACGCTACTCCGGGGACCTCCCCAGGGGTGCGTTTAGGCGAGATTTCCGAGGAGACTCGAGGGCTCTCCAGGCCGAGCCGCGGCATCGGCATCTGCTCCTCTTCCGTCTCTCTCGCTCCCTCCTCTTTCTCGTCCCCCCTGCCTGCCCAGACATGCGACGTCCTGATGTTTGTCCAATGCAGGGCCCCCTGAAGTCTCGACCCTCCTCCCAGAGCTGGTGTCTTTTGTTGTCCGAGGTCGCTTTTGGACGGTCCTGCGGCCCCCGGAGGCCGCAGATTGCCAAACACCGTCCGTCGTGTTTATTTTGGTTGGCGACACGATCATGTCGGAGTCGTCGCCCCACTTCCCGGAGAGAGGCCTGGGAGTCCTCCCTCGCCGCCAGCGCCTCGCTCCAGCGGGCGGCCGGGGAGCTGCCGGAGGGCCTGCAGGCCCCCCTGGCGCTGCAGAGCCGGGCGCTGCTGAGCTCCCTGACCCCGGAGGCGCTGGCGAGGCTGAGGGAGGCGCCGCAGGATCGCGGACGGGGGGACGGGAGCGCGAGCTGCGAGAGCGGCAGTCGGCAGGGCTGGACTTACACGGTGCTTTTGGTGATTTCGTGGGCCGTCTTCGTTTCGACTTCGTTTTGCGGTAAAGGAGGATTCGAGACAAAAGCGAGGGAAAGCGAAAACAAAACGAAAACGAAGAACACCGTTTAGGTTCAGCCCTGGCAGTCGGCCTTTGCGGGGCCTCCTCCTCGCCGCGGCTGGACGCAGCCCCCAGAGGGGTTCCGGGAGGGATCTGGAGCTGGCCGCTGTCCCTCTGTTTCAACTCGCCCTGTCCCGAGAAGAGCAAAAGACAGCCGCGACCTCCCGTCATCGATCCCCCCTGCCCTTACCACCGGAAAGAATGAATCCATTCCAAGGGGGAAACGGCGAGCGATATCGTTAGCACCCCAATGAGTTGAATTGCTCTTCGGGGCTCAGGAACAATTGAAGAATCTCCAAAAATCCTTCGGGAGTCGGCAGGCACCTGCAGAAATCTGTTATTGGAATCCTTCGGATTTTTGTGGAATTGTTAAGAATCTGCAGGAACCCTTGGAGCTTCTAAGGGATCCTCCCAGAATCCTTGAGGAATCTTCAGGCATCATCATCCCTGTAGCCATTTTGGTTCAAGGTTTTGGTTTCCCCTGGGAACAAAGTGGATACCGCTAGTCCGCGGCCAGCTTTCATCTTCCGCCTGGTTCGCCCCAGGCTGAGCGGTGCGTGGTCCGCCCCACGCATCGCAGCGTTCACCACGGCTAGGCTGTGCGCTGGTCGGTGGTCAGTCCAGAGAGCCACCCTTTCGGCATGGCGTGGGGCAAGGCAAAAGGCGGGGGCAAAGGCATGTCTTACAGCGATGTTTGGCCTCCTCTTGTGCCTGGTCCTCTGTTCTGCAAGGGCGGCGGCGGTGTGCAGGATCAGGCTGCCAACCAGCTGCCTGGCAAGAAGTGGCAGTGCCAGGCCTGTGGTTGCGCCAAGAACGCCGCTCGGTTCTATTAACGCAAACATTGTGGAGCCTACAAGCAAGATTATACTTCGGCATGGTTTGGAGATGCAGCGCGTAAGTTGTTCGGCTACGGGCAGCTCAACGGTGGCGCTTCGTGGGGCAAGGGTCCAGGCGGCGGCGACGCAGGGCAGCTACAGAAAGGAGCTTGAGGCGGCTACCCCAAGGGAGGAGGCCAGCTACCCGTTCCTCCTGGTGTTGCTGCAGCGAAGTTCACCGCCGCGGAGTACGAGACCATGGCAGGCTTCGCCGAAAGGATGGGAGACTCTGCAGGCGCTGCAGCTCATCGTCGTGCAGCCAAAGCCCTCACCGCGCCGAAGCAGCAAGAAGAAGCTATTCAGGTTCGACTCAATCGGGCCCATTGGAAGGTGCATGGGATCAACAAACGTTTGGAGTCTGCAGTTGAGAAGTACGAACAGTACGAAGCTCAGCTCAACAACCAGAAGACTGTGGTGCTGGAGCTGCGCACGGAGCTCACCAATGCTGAAGGCGAGCATGCGACTCTCTTGCAGGACTTGGTCGAGTCTCAAGAGGCGCCCAAGCAGCCACCCACGTCCACGGTCAAGCTTGCTCTGGAGGACATCATGGATCAGGAGCGTCTCGCGAAGGTCTTCGACATCAGCGTTTCGGGCCTGTTCAGGTGTGACGGTGTGGAGCTGGACGAGTCCGACAACATCGAGATTGAGTCACGTGTGCAACAGCTCAAGGCAGGGCTCACGGCGATGGCGGGCACCCTCTTCGCAAAGGCCAAGCAGAAGGTCGATGGCCTCAAGTCCGCCCACGCGCAGCACACCAAGAGGCTTGCGGCCAAGCGGCCTCGAGTGGAGCAGGAAGCACCCTTCGAGGAACCTCCCGATGCTGGTGCACCCGCCGAAGGAGATGATGGTGCTGCCCCGCCGCCTGCGGCCGAGGTGGAGCCAGGAGGTGCAGCCTCGTCAGGCGCAGCTGGTGCTGCGGCAGCCGCTCCGACCTCGCCTTCTACGACAGGCACTGCTCGCGAGCGCGCTGACCGCATTGCCGCGGCCACTCACGCATTCCAAGATTAGCTGCCCCCTGGAGGCCAGCCCTGATGCTCGTCGCCTCCTCGAGTCGTCGGTCGATTGGGGGTCCGCAGGTCCTTCGCTCGGAAGGCTGCCTCCAGGGGGGGGGGGGGGGGGTGAAGCACGTTATTTACCTCTGCACATGGAGTTCCGCTCAGTTGCGCAAGCTGCCCTCATCCGCAAGAGGGGAGCGCTTCGTCGCACGGCTGAGCGGACCCCTATGGTTGCCCCTGTCTCTTTGCTGGACTTTGCGATGCCAAGGGTTTTGTATCCTGTTCTCCCCCTTGGTAAGCCAGCGCGCAAGGATGCCACGGTCGGGGCTGTCCCGCACGTGGCCACGTCTGTTTGCCCCCCCGTGGAGGGGGGTTCTCGTCCCCACGATGAGCTCGTCGCGCTCGGAAATTTAACGCCAGGATGTTCCAAGGGCAAGTTCGAACCCTTGGATTCTCAGAGGGCGCAGCTCCCCTCTGACTGTTTCAAGTCGACAGCGCACTCTGTCAGCAATGTCAGCCTGCCTGTGCCTGCTCCTCTTGTCGGCAGCGAGCAGTCATCGGCCTCTAAATCGGACAGTTTGGTGCCACTCACGATTCAGACCATTGATGCCAACTCATGGGGTACGTTGAAGGGTTTGCTCGAAGATTGCTCAGCCCACATTGTGCTCGGTCAGGAGCACCGTCTGATTTCCAAAGAGGACATCGAACAGGCCAGTGCTCGGTGCATCAGGCATGGATGGAAGTCGGTTTGGGCCCCTGCTACCCCCACCCAAGCGCAGGACACGAGTGGGGGTGTTGCCATTTTCGTGCGCTCCTGGATGGGGCTTCTGGAGGTCGAGGATGCCATCACGACGCCTGGGCGGTGCATCGCGTGCTCTGCGCACCTCCCTGGGACTCCCCCCATCCTGGTTGTTTCTGCCTACCTTCACCACTCAGAAGGCCTCAGCGATGATAATATGTCTCTGCTCGCGAGGCTCGGCGAGCAACTTTCGGCTGTCGGCCAGCCGTGAGTGCTCGGTGCCGACTTTAATCTAGAGCCTGCTGAGCTCGGGTCGTCCAGTTTTGTGCCTGAGTTGAGGGCCTCCCTCATCTTCCCCGTTGTCGCTACGCACTATCCTGCGGGCCCCCCCACGACGTTCGACTACTTCGTTTATTCGGGCGGTCTTGCGAAGGGTCTCAAGTCGGTCGATACGAGATTGGATACGGAGCTCTCCCTCCACAGGCCCGTCCAGTTGGTGTTCCACCCCAAACTGGCGGTGCTCCACGCTCTCTCGTTCAGGAAGCCTCCCCCTCTGCCGCGTCAGGTTGTCTTTGGCCCTGCCCCCAGAGAAAGTTGTTGGGCTGGGGAACTTGCGCTGGCGCCCGAGGCTGAACGTTGTCTTCAGAATGGAGACGGGCAGGGGGCCAAACGTCTTCTGGGCCCTCTCTACAGGAAGTGGGCTGACCACGCTGAACGTGACCTTATTCCCCTGGTGGGTGTTGCCATCCCAAGTTAGGCGCCAGGGGCTTGGGTCCCCAGCTTGTGTGGAAACCTATCTTGGGCCAGGATGGTAGGGTGCGTTATCCTGGTCATCGCGCGATCCGTTGGCTCGGGCAACAGCTTCGCGCCTTCGTGCACGCTCGGCGCGGAGGCGCTGCCGCCACTGCTGCCAGGCTCAGTTGCGTGTTGGCGGAGCCCCCGCCCACCATCTCGGCCGCCGTGGAAGACTACGAGCCGCTGTTCAAGCGAGCGGCTCAGGAGGTCTCCGCCCTTGGCTTAGGTGGGGATGTGGAGTCGCTCGCTGATCTGCACACTCAGGTTCACGAGGCCGTCAAGGCCGCCAGCGCCAAGTACGCCGCCAAGAGCCGATCAGACTGGGCTGCTTGGCTGCATGTAGGCATCCATCAGGGAGCTAAAAGGGTTCATCGATTCATTAAAGATCCTGTTCCGTGGGCCCCCTCTTCGACTCTCTCTGCTGCTGGGAGCGTCGTCAGTGATCCTCTCTCCCTGCTCAAGGCCGAGGGAGAGAGGTTCAGCAGCATATGGGGTGAGGGTCGAGGGGCCGAGTTTGATGGTCAGGTTATCGAGCCTCTTCCCCGACCCACGGCCAGCGAAATCCGTGATATCTCTAAGTCCTACAAAGAGTATTCGGCCGTGGCTGTGGACGGATTTCATTGCAAGCATTTCTCTATGTTGCCAGATGCTGCGCTTGATTGCCTCAGTGCCATTTTTTCGGTCATGGAAGCGCTAGGCTGCCTTCCTCCGCAGATCTCTGTCGTCACTTTGGCGCTTCTGCCGAAGCCTACTGGTGGCTACAGGCCGATTGGGGTGTTCTGCTCCTGGTTCAGGGTTTGGGGCCGCTGTCGGCGGCCCTTTGCCTTGAACTGGGAGCAAGAACACCCCAAACGGTACTGGCCTGCTGGTAGGTTTCGCGGAGCTGCCGATGCGGTGTGGCGTCAAGCTGTCACCGCCGAGACGGGTGTTGCCATCGGGGAGTCCTCCTGTTCTGTTCTCTTCGATCTTCGCAAGTTCTATGGGAACACCAGCCCGAAAGAGCTCGAGGTCCGTTGCAAGAAACATGGCTTCCCTCTCGCGATTGCCCGTCTTTGCATGTATGCCTACAGGTGTGGGCGCTTTCTCTGTCCAGGAGGGTGGCTGGAAGGCCCCTACTTTTGCCTGAACGGGGTTATCGCAGGATGCTCGATGGCCGCCACGTTCATCCGTGTCTTTTGCCAGGACGGATACGATTCCCTTCCCTCCATCCCCAGGCTCGACTTCGATGTGTATATTGACGACCAGGGTCTCTCGTGCACGGGCCAACATAGGACCGTGGTCAAATCGATCGTCGAAGGGGCCAAGGCGCTCCACGCCATCGTTGAGTCTTGTTTCGGTTGTTCTCTCGCCCTGGACAAGACCGCTGTTGTTGCTTCCTCGAAGGCCCTTGGGGATGAGGTTTCATTTGAGATTTCGCATTTAGG